CCTCGCCACTCTCAGAAATAGCAGTCCTAATCTGTGTCATTGTACAGCTGTTTCTCAATTTCAGCATCTTCCCCACGACGTCGTCGTGTGGCCATGGTGAACTATACGGCTCTCTAGCAGTGAATTTTTTACTGCCAGCACAAAATCTCTCTGTGCTTAGACCACGACCAGAAGCCATAAATCATAACCTCGCGCCCACACATACAAAAATCTCATCCACGTCTTGGCTGAACTCAATATCTGCTTCAAACATGCTAGATGATGTCATGGGTGGCTACCCTTATATTGCGATGTTTCAAAATCATTACAAACACAATGGTTTGACTGCAATGAATGAACGAATGACCGATCTGGCAACACCATATTCCGAGAATGTACTCCTGTGTCTTTCTAACAGATATTACACAGCGAGCGATTTCAGACGACCACAGTCCTGCATACCGACATGTCCCATACAATAAATAAACTTCAACAAGAGATAGCATTCAATATATGTGAGGTCGCCACGAAGGACTTACACTGCTAAAACGCATGGTGCAGAAAATGTATTACACTGCTGGAACGCATGGTGCAGAAAATGTATGAATTTCGGGAAAATTTGTTTTTGGAATCAGTGTAAAACGTTTTTACAGATATTAAAATCTGTAAATTAGAGTATCTGATTCTATATTCTTTCTAGATTAAAGGAGCGTTCATTTCGTTCGTTTATCATAAAAATATAGAAATCACACCATTTTCAGGAACATGCTTACAATTTCATTGCTCTAGAAGGGCGGGCATTTAAATAAACTCTGTGCAGCTGCCCTTCCCGGAAATTAAATGGCCCATCTGATAAAGGTTAATAGGTAAATAAATTACACATAAAATGAAACCAGCTTCTAAACAATGACAGGTTAAGTCTAACAGAACCTATCTCATCAGCTCAAATGGTTCATTGGCAAGGGAAGGGATAAACACATTTCTGACTTTATTACACCAACTTAAGCCTGCAATTTAAAAAAGTTCTCATGGCATATTCTAAGATAGACACAAGTCATCATTCAATATAAACAAGCCACTTCACTTTGAAGGTAAGACATGATGAGAGGTATACTGAAGAAACACACATATAATGACACTCTTCATGTTGCCACAGTTTACTCTAGCCTCTGATCAATGTTACATGCTACTTACTTAAAATCTGTCTGAATGCTATCACTGGGTTTTATTTGGAATTTAAGTCGCTTATAGGAGTTGCCATTTCTGTCCACTTTCTCTTCACTGTCTGATACTGCTGACTTCTTGCTGCGCTGTCTCACAACATTGCTGTCCCCAACTGGAAAACAAGCTTCAATATAAATGGGTGATATCTGTATTTCTTTAATATCCGTAACTCAATACTTCTGGCTAACAAATAAGTTTTTAGCCTTCACTGTCTACAGCATGTCATACTACTGTGATAATGCAAGTTCACAGCTAGCATTCCAGCCTTGCACTGTTTTCAACAAAAATTCTACAAACTTGAACTCAAATCCAGCCACCAGCACTGCAGCAGTGAGAGAATTAAATCCTTTATTCCTGGAGAATAAATGATACAAACTAAAAAAATAAGGATAATAATGGTGAATACAGCTGGATAACTGAGAGGTTTGGCTCTATGATGCAACATTCACCTTGTGCTTGGAAGCTATTGGTCTTCAATCTTGTCTGCTCATAAGTAACTTATAAATTTCACTCACAAAATTTGGTAAGGTACAGGTAGAAGTGGCCCTGTGCTTAATTAACATTTTGCGGACCACACGTATTAATATGTCTTTCACTTTTAAACATGGTGGACCGGTTGCATATTAATATGTTTTTAGAATCCGATAAATTGCAAAACACTATACATCGCTCTGGCACCACCTACATTGCACGCAACCGCCTGCAGATGCGTGATAAGACTCTGGAATGTTTAGTTAGCAGTCAGTAACTTGACCTCGTTGTTTATTTAACCGACTATAAAGGAAAATGCTTTGCCTTCTTCAAGCTGTGTGTATCAGCCAGTAGCTAGTGGGGAGAATGGATCAAGGACAAATTCTCCTCCAATGACCTAGCTGACCTGCCTTGTGAGACGCGTAGTAATGGATTAATTGTCATTCAGACAGCGACAGTGAGGGGGGACAACAAAGAATTGTGGCCACAGACAGTAAGAGTGACAGTAGCTCTGATGATAATGTGGGTAATAACACTGCACATAGTAACATTGTGGGGACAGCAAAAATCTAAAAAAAATCTAAACCCTGATTCAAAATTGAAATACAAAGCATTTCTGATGAATGTGGCAAAGGCCTCAGCTACAGTCCAGGTGGTGGCGGCAGAACCAGGGTCACACAAAGACTTAGTATGACCGGGCCCATCAACTCCCACCCCACGAAAGCCTCATGTGGACCACCAGGGCGACTCTCAAGTGATATGAGGAAAAATACCCTCGTGAAAATTGTGAAGCATGAACATTCCAAGGGGAAGAATCCTTGTAGGCAATGCCGTGTTTGCACAGTTCACAAAAAAGGAGTATGTCTACATTTGCAAGTCCTGTGTAATGCCACTTCACAAAGGGGAATGTTTCCAGAAATATCACACCCTCAAGCACTTCTAGGAGCACTGGTAAGTGTTCTCCAAAAATTTTAGTTCAAAAAATTAATTAGATTTTATATTAATTTTTAAAGTGAACAGTGCACAAGTTAGGGTAGTATGTTTAATAATGCCGGTCCCCAGGGTGATTTAAATATTTAAATACCCAGTCCGCGAAGTGTTAAGCACCACAACAAGAAGATATGTGTGGGAGTGGAGGTATTGCTCTGCCATTCTTTACCTCAGCACTATATACAGGTCAGTGGTCAGCTTTATGCCCCAGCTGCTTTACCCTGAGGGAAATATCCTTTGGTACCCATTGAGTAGGAGGCTTGGTGGGTCCCAGAGCTAGTCTAGATGCTGCAGAACAGAAAAAATTATCTTTCCCCTAGCAGGAAATAAAACCTCAGCTCTCCAGCCTATAGACCACTGCTATTTCAGCTCTTACAAAAGTTGATACACCTGTGCAACTGGTATGTCTGCTTTAAACAATACATAAAACTGCAAGAAAAATATACAACTTGATGCCACACAATGTGGATCTCAACTGGAAATACACAGGCTTATCCACATTAAGGGAGAAAGAGATGAGATAAATAATACCACTACAAAAACGATAACAGAATTTGCCACAGTGCAGCTGACTCTTATACACAGCTTATTGCTGAGAGGGTTGTTGGTGGTCATGTGTCAGGTATAATCAGTATTCTTGTTATAACCAATGCTAGGGTGTCTCCTTTTTTAGATTAAATTCAAAAGCACCAAGATGCCTAACATATATTAAATGCAGTCTATCAGTCTTGGAAATTCACAGACATAGTGCAGAAACATTAAATTTAATAAATATCTTTCACCAAAATATCAGAGGCTTGAGAAGCAAAAGTGATGAATTACTACACTCTTTTAAAAAATAGACAGCATAAACCCTCACGTATTATGTTTAAGTGAACATCACATAGTTGAACAGGAATTGCTGCTCCTCTCAATGAATGGTTACCTGTTAGGCCCAAGTTTTTGCCAAAAGAGCCTACTGAGGGGAGGAGTGTGTATTTTTGTTAAGACTGATCTACATTTCAGTAAAATTGATATTTCTCATCGCTGTCAGCAGCAAGACTTTGAAATCTGTGCAATCCAGCTAGTAACTAAAACATCTCACCTAATTATATTAAGCCTGTACAGAGACCCTTCAGGTGAGATTAATGAATTTCTAAGGAGACTAGGATCAACTTTAAAATATCTGAACAATCCAAAGTCTGAGTTTATAATTTGTGGAGACATAAACATAAACTATTTAAATGAAAGCAGAAAAAACAAGTAAACTCTTTAATAAGGACATAAAATCTGTCACAGGCAGTGAATTTCGTAACAGGAGTTCAAATTTCCTCAAGCACTGTCACTGATGAATGAATGTATAAAGGGTGGGCCTTCTCAGCCCTTGCACCGCGACCTACAGTGGTCTATTGTGCTTCCCCTTTACTACCATTGATAATATCTTTATAGATAATGCAAGGTTAAGCTCTTCTTGTACATCTCCTATAGTCAACGATCTCTCTGACCATGATGCTCAATTTCTTACAGTAAATATTATTATTGCAGAAGTAAATTCAATAACCTTGAAACAGAAAACCATAAAAATAAACAGTGAAACTAGTGCTCAATTTCAACATCTATTGCAAAATGAAACGTGGGAACCTATTTTCAAAAATAAGGATACAGATCATAAGTTTAACTCTCTTTTATATACACTCAACTCTCGATTATCTGGGGGTGGATTAACCGGTTTGCGGCTTAACCGGGGCTTTTTTGAGGCTTATATATTGTTTAATATTCATTCACTTTTGTTTCACATGGTGAGTTGTAACACTATTTTCGCACTAGTGTGAACCGAGCTCAGCATTTTTTGGTCCCGTTATACTAACATAATGTTCTAGGGTAGGGGTGAAAGAATGCAAGGATTTGTGAAAAGTTTCAAGGACAGATATACCGCCCCAATTAGTCTCTTTGTATTGATCTTCAAGTGTGTTAGCAAATTGTCAGGGTGTAAAAGGAAGCGTGTTGTGGTAAGTATTCAACAGCAACTCATGTGAGCCAGGCTTCAAAATGTTAAGCAGTGATGAAATCATAAGTTAAGTGGGGATGCAGTCAGAAGAGCAGGAAGAAAGTGAGAATGAGGAAGAGGTGGACAGTGCTGCTAGTAAGAAAGTATCACATGGTGCTGCTCTTAATCATTTGGAATCCTTACTAGACTATCTTGAGAGTGAAGAGAAGAGTTTATTAAGTGACAAGCTAATATTACGTAGGCTTCGTACGGATATCTGTAAAAAGGAAAATGCCGCGAAAAAGCAAACGACAATATTAAATTTTTTAAGTGTTAAGTGTGAATATTCGTAAAGAGTGTTGGATGTCGTTGAACACTGTGACTGAAATAACTAATTCATACTTCAGTGTAATGCAAAAAAAGTATTAAATAGGCCATGAGATGACATAAAAATGGGGTTGAATAAATTTAAATACAGGTAGGCCTATAGTATTATGAAGGTACAGTATTACAATAATACTTTTAATAAAATTTGTCTTAACCTTTAAGGGACAGGCCATTTAAATTCCGGTAGTGGTAGCGGGACGGAGTTAATTTAAATGCCCGCCATTGTAGAGTAATAAAAATTGTAATCATGTTACTCAAAATGCCGTGATTTCTACAATTTTTGTGATGAACGAAATAAACGCTGCTTTTATCTCGAAAGAATATAGAATCAGATATTGTAATTTACAGATTTTAGAATCTGTAAAAATTGTTACACTGATTCCAAAAATTTTTTTTCCCAATTTTGAGTGTCTGTCCACAAATATGCAGAAAGTTTCTGCAGTATAAATGCATGCTGCAAGACATCCTCTTTTCCTGTCTTATCTTTCTAAAGGGGAGGAAGCTAATGTTTGTACGGCACATCCTCCAGTCACTTCGTAACCTTTCTACTATTGCACGAATGGGCAAAAGTCTTTATCGTACTTTGTACCTCAGAAACACTGCATGTTTATATCTCGGGCTAGCCACACAGAGGTACTCTTCTTGGAATAGCCCTGCAGTGCCTTTCAGTTTCGTCTGTACCGCATTCTGAATCGGTGAGATTTATAAGCGGCCTTCAATCTTGGCTTCTTCCATGCAAAATGGAGCCATGTTGGATAGTTCAAATTGTGATGTTTTATAAGCATTATGATTCTGTTTACATCTCGGACTAAACACACAGAGCTAATGTTCTTGGAATGCCTTTCAGTCTCATCTGTAACGCATTCTGAATCGGTGTAATTTATGAGTGGCCTTTTCCATGCGAAATGGGGCCATGGTGGATAGTTGAAATTGCGATGTTTTATAAGCGATACGATTAGAATTGTCCTTCAGAAACCCTGACTGTGCATATCTCGAACTAACCACACAGAGATACTGTTCTCGGCATAGCCCTGCACTACCAGAATGTTCTAGCCTAGTGCGTTGTGTTGTGAATAAAACATCACAATTTAAACTAGCCAGCATGGCCTCATTTCACTTGGAAGAAGACGAAATTGAGAAGCAGCTGATTATTCACACCGAATCACACTGCGGTACAGAAGATTCTGAGAGTGGCAAGGAAACAACAGGCTCAGAACCCGAAATCGACGAAGACCCATCATCTTCGTCGGCAACCTGGGGACCACCACACCAGCAGGGCAGGAGGCGTGTGAATAATT